CACAAGTCATTTTAGTGCAGAGAGGGAATGAAATTTACAGTCACTGTGCTGCGCAAGTGCAGCTTCATTAGTGAGTCACTCTGACTCCAGCGCTCGTACACAATGATTGAGATGGCACCTGAAAAATAAAAAAGTAGCAAGAAGAGAGACAGAAATGTCCCAAACAGGAATCTTAGAGTTTTGCTCCATTCAGCCCTCAAAGCTCTGGCATTGAATTTCTGAAGGCCTCTTTGCTGCCTATGAAGGCCCAGAATCCTGTGTTTATTCCTCCACCAGGATAGAGCTGATTTGATGCACAGTACTGTGGTTCGGTGGTCACAGAATGTTCTCCAGGCCTCAGGTGCTCACCTAGGGTCAACCAGTCATTGGGGATGTTTGGTGGGGAGGGGGGAGAATTACAATTGGGCACATTGTTAGAAGCCTCAAAATGCTGGAATTACAGATCATCACTTAGTCTTTTTTATGTCTTACATTTCTCATTTTCTGTAATGGGCTTGGAATAGTCAAGGGGAAAAATATGTTAGCCTAGAATGACATATCCCAATGGCTAGAAGTGACTTTTAAGAAACACTGTGTACAAAAGGCATCATTGGAGAGATGGCAAAGGCAGCCCCAAAGCTGACTACTCCAATGGCAGAGCAACCCTGATAGGCTTGCTCAACAGTTTGTCCCCTTCTTCTGTCATACGCTAGCTGGAAGGCAGCACTGAGGACTGCCTGGCTAGGCTGCACCCAACCACTCCCATCAGTGGTGATGTCAGCTCTCCTGCCAATTCATCCCATTTCCTTGGAAAGTGCATGGACATGTCCCAGGATGTGTTCCTGGAGCAGAGGGACTATTGTCAAAAAAGCCACTTCCCTTAAACCACAAAAAACAACCATTTATCTTGGACAGACCAACACAAATGATATCCAGAATGTACATCTCCGTGCTCTCTCTCCTGGATACTTGAACATTGGTTAATTTCCACTCTCAGTTAACCCGGCTAGAGACAGGGTTACTCCAGGTGCCTCTGGGTCCTGTGTTGGATTTCATTACTCTAAATGTGATCGCCATGGGTAGCTTCAGACACTAAACTGAAACAACCTCTTACCAAATCGGGGCAGCTACATGTGGTGCTTTTGTCTTGGGTCTCTTCTCATGAGTGCACATGGATACTGAGCTAGAGGACCCCGGTTTGGAGTCCTGGGGTGTAGTCTCTTCTCAAATGAAAGGCAAGCCTTGCTGGGTGGAACCACTCACCCTCCTGGACCTGCATGGCACCAAAGCCCAGGCCGCTGCATAGGGATATGAGATCAATGTCCATGACATTGCAATCCCTGAAGTTGAAAGGAGAGATTTGGTGAGAGGCTAAGGCTGCTAGGAAGGTTGGAGCTGGAACAGGCACAATTTTTATTTGTTGTGTTTTGATGCCAGCAAGCCACAGATCTCCTTGTGAAACCTACAGCCACAACAAAGTGGGAAAGGAAGAACTCTCGAAATCTGTGGGCCACTCTAGAGATGAACTGCTTAACTTTTAGCTAACTGAAGCTGGTGCAAAGAAAAGAGGAGAGAGAGGGAGAGAGGGAGAGAGAGAGAGGGGGGAAGGGAAGGAGTAAGGGAGAGAGAGAGCACACACGCCAAGAATAGAGAGAAAAAGCTAAAGGAAACAGGAGAAATGGGCACAGAAAGGACCAGGACCTCTTTCCAGGCAGACAGCTCCCTTTCCTCAGTCCGCAGGATAGTTGGGGAGGAAAGGAAATAAAAGTTGAATGGGCCTTGACTCACAAGGAGCTCAAAGCACTTATGTCCATGGTCAGATGTCTTGTGTGCATACAAGTAAGAAACTTGAATTTGACCTGGGGTCTTGCCCGAGGCCCCTGACTGATTTCCCCCATTTGGTTGGGTTCTATTTTTATTTGAAATTAGCAGTCTTGTCTGTTGAACCTCATATGTCTAGGACCGTCTCTACTTTCCCTACTTCTTCCCAGCTAGAAAGTTTTGGTAACTACTTCGAGAGGCATGTTTAAACTGTGGCCAAGGAGCTTCTATAAGGCTGGGGTGCCCTGGGTAGGCCCCCATCCCGACCAGCGGCAGAGCATCTTTCTTTGTCTCAAAGCAGGATCAGATGCCAGAGTATATGCACCCAGATGCATCTGGCACTGCTGCCCACAAAGCTGCTCAACACCCTTGCTCTGCTGCTGCTGAGTTCAACCCTGGTCGGTTACCTCTTCCCTGGGAGTCCTTCTAACATTTCAGGGATGCAGAAGGCTCTGAGAGAGGCCTGGCACAAAGAGGAGCAATTGGATGAAGTGGCTGATCTATAGACGGTCTGCAGGGAATAAGAAAGGGAAGATGCAGAGAATGATAGGTCTGAGCCAGTGTCCTCCAATGTGCTTAGGAGACGTTTACATGTTTGAACGCAAAATTCCTATTTAGAAACCCCTACAACTTCCCAGCTAGTGGAAAACGTTCAGAATTTGGATCTGGACACGGGCAAGCCCTCTGCCTCAAACAGGTGCCAAGGATGCTGGCCTAGCCCTGCCTTGCAAGTCACAAAGTCTGAGAAACTATCTTGGCTCCAGCCCACATTTGTCCTCCCCCTTCTAGGAAAAGTAAAACTAGTATTCCCAATACGAAACCTGATTCTCCTGAAAAACTGATTCCTTTCTCACAAAATATAGCCTTTGTTTTAAAAATAATCATTAGACCTTCCACTGAAAGCTGACAGCACTTCCTGCTGCTGCCCTTCACACACCTGTTACCCAGCACACCTGTCCGCAGGACACTCACATACAAGACCTTTTGCAGAGCTGACCTGTGCTCCTGGGAAAGAAGTCTTAGGGAGTGCACCCTGACCTTCAGGCAGGCGCATAGTGACACAAACACCCATCAAATGCACCAGGGAGACGCACACATATAGAGACCCACATTCGAACCCATACATGCACATCAGTGTTATATCCCAGTAGGAATCACACACACCTAGTAGAAAGGAAGAGATGAGGGGGGTCAGATGGGACTTACAGCCTGGCGGATAGGAGAGAGGAAAGGTAACTAGCTCAGAGGTAAGAGGAGGTGGAGGTTGGCAGGAAGGTAGTTTGGAAGACAGGTAGATAAGACAGAATACATGGGAGGAAGGCTGCTGGGCAGTATGCAAGGTTCACAAAGCATATTTCATTATGTAACAATTGAATCTTTGCTGCGTGGCTGACCATGGTCACACAGCTCTGAGATTCCCTCCCTGCCCCTCCAGGGCTGTTCAGCTCCAGCAAGGTGCCCTAGGTGACCGGAAGCTACTCCTGCCCACTCTGAGACCACTTCCTGCCCCCACTGTGGTCACAACTCTGGCTAGCATCTTTGTTCACTAACACCTGGATTGTCAATTTGCTCAAATAAGCCCAAGACACTGGGGTGGATTTGTTCTGCTTCTAGGTGCAGTCACAGAGAGGGCTGTGTTGGGACTCACGGCCTTGAATACCAGCAGGAAAAGGGGAGAGGGTGGGAAGAACCAAGGGTTCTCTGTGAATGTACATAATATTATACAAGCTTGAGCCCAGGGAATATGAAGGCGCTCTCTCTGCATGACACCCATCTTCTTTTGTCTGTACAGATATCACCCCTGGGAAAGGGGTAAAGGTCCAGTGACAAGGGACAGCACCCAGGCCAGGGAGTGAGGCCACGCGTGGACTACACACGCAACCATAGCAGTCAAAGGCAATATTCCTTCTCCCTCCTGAACCACGTGCTCCCCTCCTCTCTCACGGCTTTTGTGCCCAGCTAGGTCTTGAACTTCAGGGATCACAGGACTGATTCTGTGGTGTCCCAGAGCTGCAAAGCGAAGAACCATGTGGGCCTTAGGCCCAGGGGTTTTGTTCTTGGTCTTGCCCTCTGGGAATTTCAGCTGTACCAACAATAATAGAAAAAAATACAACACAAACAATAAAACTCCACACTCAGGAAACATTGCACACACACGCGCTCTCTCACTCTTTCTCCAGTGATCTATAGCTGTAGAACTGGCATCCATAGAAGCCTGGCCCTCACGTTTCCTAGGCCCCTGGGCCTCTATCAGGGGCCATGAAACCACTATAGTGATAAACATGGGTCACAATACAAATTTTTCCATTTAAAAGGTGGAAAAGAAAAACAGAAACCACCCAAAGTACAGACACACACACACACATTCACACTCACACTCAGTCACACATCATAACATTACTCCAAGGCTCCGGGCTGCCCAGGGAGTGCAGGTGGGGCTGCGATCAGGTAAGGGCGGCCTCTTGTTTTACTAGGTGTAAGGCAGCTGGAAGGTAAGACTGGGTTCTCTGAGCATCCACTGGAGTGACCTCTCATTGATGCAGGTCTTGACGCTTGGCAAGTTCTCTCCTCTTCCCACCTCTGAAGCTTTGTCCAAAAGGTTGGCAGCAAAGAGAAAACTTCTTCTCAGTTTGTTTTCTCTTCCACTCCTTGTGTGTCACTGGTGGGCCAGGAAGGAACTCTGAACAGGAAAAGCAGGAGAAGACATGGAGCTGAAAAGGGCCTCAGAGACGGAAGTACATTCGAGGAACTTAAGAGTCTTGCTTCCCTGGGATGGGATGAGTGGGTGGGCAGGGGTGATGTCCTCTCCTGCAGGCCCAATGGGTGGCCCTTCCTTCTCTACATCTCAGTTGCTTCAGATCGCTGCCACTGTCCCTTCCAGCTCAGCACCCGTCCTTGACTGACCCGGAAGCAGGACGTTCTTGTGAGTGTCGGTGTATTTACTCTGTCTTCAGGAAACCATGAAGCCTAAAGTCAGGAATGGATGGAAGAGCCACGCCACGGGAATGCTTCCCCCAACACAAAGTCCAGCGAGATGTGGGTGCCTGAGCCAACTCAACTTTACCTTGGCACTGGCATCGTCTTGATTTAGTTTCATTTTATATATGTATATTATATATATATTTATATATATATGTATGTGTGTGTGCATGTGTGTGTGGGTGTGTGTGCGTGTGTATGTGTGTGTATGGGTTTGTTCTTTAGCACACTGTCCCATTTTCGGGTCTGGATTTAGGGCAGTTGGTCCTCGGGACAGGTTGGACAGAAGGGGCCAAGGTACAGAAGAATCCCGAGATGAGGGTGAGGCCCAGGCCCCCCCATGCACAGAACATGGACCATCCATAGCCATGGCTGATGTCATCAGGGAGTCCATACAGGTAGCGTGGGTAGCGTGACAGCTCAAAGTTGATCCCAGCCACACAGGTGCACAGTGAAATGATGCAGAAGGTTCCTGAAGGACAAGGGGAAAATATGGGGTGGGGCAATGGAGAAGGAGAGGGAGACAGAAAAAGAGAAGTTAGAGAACTACATTTTCAACTTATTTTTTTTTAAGGAGAAGAAACGAGAAGAATCAGGTAAGAGTGGCTATTACCAAGAGCATTGTCTGGAACATTCATGGGAGGAGAGTAACATTATGGGATCAGTTGCTTCCTTATTCTCCAGTAACTTCCCCGTCTTGGAAGGACTCAAGAAATCTCCCCTTTAGGGTAATACTCAATAAATGCCTCATTAGACTTGTGTGTAGGATTGAGTGAGGCAGAAGAGCATTCAGTTCAATTTTCTAAAGCATTTTAACTTCATTTTCTTTGGTTGGGGACACAGAACAAACACTTTCTGCTTGCTACTTGTGTAAAGAAATAAAAATCTTTCCTATACATGACTTACAATATTATATCCTCCTTTGATCCATTCACTAACAACCATTCCAAATCCTGGACATTTTGTTCTCTTCCTAGAAAAACAACATGAATGTTGGCACCATGAGTGTTTTCCATGGAACACTGGCCCTGTGAGATAATCCTTTACAACATGGAAGGCATAGCCAAAGCACAAGAAACCCAGCATCTGCCTTCTCACCTGTGAGTCCTCAGAATCCACGGTAACATGGGTTACCTTGTCCAATCTAGATGGGGTCTCCTCTTAACAAAATTTATTCACATCCACTCCTCAATAAAACAACATCCATGAGAGGTAGAATAATATGAAATAGATATTATAAGCCCGTTTTTAACTGACACAAATATTTGGTGTCCTTAGGATGAATTCTAGACTTTTCCTTAGTATTTCTGTGTCTTGTGCTCCTCGTGTCACTAGTAGGAAGCTAGAAGGGAAGTGCGGCAGCCAGGATTGGATACAGAACGTGAATATCCCAAGCAACAATCATGTATCTTTGCCAAATGCCCACTCCCAGCAATGCATTTTGATGAACACTGGTTGAATCCTGAGGGGTGGGGAAGACAGATGGGCAAGGCACCTTGCTTGACCCAGCTTTTCTTTCTCGTGTGAAGAACACACCTCTGCTTGTAGCTGTGTGGGTACCTGGGGGAGGTGCAGGAGTGCAGAATCCCCCTAAGCAACTTCCTGGGGTTCCATGGGGACCTCTAGGAGACCAAACACAACACTTCAGTGGCTCTTGTAGAAAAGCTGTCTCAAGGACAAGGCAGTAATGGATGCCCGAGCACAGGGTTTTGAACTCTTTGGCTTGTGTATACTCATTGGCCCCTTGGAAAAGGGTAGGGTTGGTAGAGCTATGCTGTACACCAAGGGGTTACTGCTCAGAAATATCCACGTGTACTGTGACAACCACCAATTCCACTTGCCCCTGCATGCATGTGTAGACCATGGCTTCTGGGGATAGCTCTTTAGAATATGTTATTAGTCAAGAGAGATCTCTGATAGGTAAATAAGGATGGCAATGGATAATGTGTGGTCTGTGTTAGTATTACCACCCATGCTTTGGGGTTTTGGACCTAATTTCCATCACACTACAGTACTAACTGTAGTCATATGGTAGTAATCAAATGAAAAAGAACTCTGTCCCTATATGCTCCCCTTGGAATGAGGCTCTGCTTTGCTCCACATGCAGGCTGTCGGCCTTGCCAAGGGTAACCCTGGCCAGGCAGCAGTCACAGCAGCAGTGACTGGTTGGCAACGTCAGATCTAGGGGTGGGGTGCAGCTTAGCTTGGGAGGACGGGGACACCCCCTTGGCAGGCACTCCGTGGTTCACAAAAGAGCTAATCAGAAAATACTTGTTAAACTTCTATGTTGGGGCCAAGCATTATGGTAGGAGATAAAAGTGGAAATAAGCGGAAATAAGATATGATCCCTTGCCTTAAGAATCTTTCATTAAGTCTAAAATTAAAACCTGAATGAAAGCTTTTAATCTAGTAGGGGATGTGAGACAAATATCACTGGCAAGTTGAGGATGAAATGTAAGAGTTCAAGATGGGGATCAAGAGAGCTGAGCTCTCTCTTAGCTCTGAACCCTGGTCCCCTCACTTGCAAACTCAGGGACCTGGAGTGGATGATGGTCAGGTCTTTCCCAGTTCTGGCAGTCTCTAGGAAAAGAACGATTCACAGCTGGTCAGTGCGAGAGTTAAGGGGAACTCCACAGAGACAACGCTGCCTCCAGAGGGCTTCCCACAGCGAGTGGGATCTTGTGGCATGAATAGGATTTCTGCAGGCAATAAACAAAGAGGGGTCTTCACTGGGTCAGGGGTGTGTCCCGTGTTCATCTCAGTGCCCCTCTGTGCTAGGACACTGTGCTCAAGATGAAACATGCCAACCACATGCCACCCTCACTACTGCTCTAACTTCTGAGATGCTCACTGCTGCTCAGTTGCATCAAGCTTTCACTATTTCCCACATGAGCTGATATCAGATCACTAGTGTCCTGTCTTCTTTCCCCAAATGGTGGCCAGTAAGGTTCAATTAATCAGATTACAGTTCTCTCTGCTTTAAGCCCTCCAAGAGCTTGATAACATACTCAGAATGCACCCTGCCTATGGCCTGACCTCAGGGGATGAGCCTGCCTCGCCAGCATCATTTCCCACCCTCTCTACACTGCAGCCACACCAGACAACTTGCAGTGTCTCAAACCAGCAAAGCTTGTTGCACTTAGAGTTAGTGCCCTTGCCCACAGTGGCCATCTTCTAGCTCTTCTGGAGTCTCAACTCAACGAGCGTCCTCAGAGAGATCCACCCTGGTGTTCTCATGAGGGAACATCCCCAGCAGTTTTCCAACTGGGATCCCTGGAGGTGAATCAGCAGCTGCCCCTGGGAAACAGGGAGGGGGCAGAAGATGCTCACAGCTGTGTCCCCTCTGTTTGACCACAAGAGCTCTGCTTGGATTTGTGCTCACATGCAAGTCCAGTGAAAGAAGGGATCTGAGTGATTTAAACATCTCTGAAAAATCACTTGCTTTGTTCATTTGCAAGGGGGAAACGTAAGGTGTGTCACTGTAGGAATTTGCCTTCAGACAGCAAAGTGCAATGGCTGCTTCACTCAGGGGTAGTCCCTGACTTTGCCAGAAATCACTAATCAATCTCAACCCTGCTGGCTCTGTCCCTCCGGCTTCCCTCATATCCCCCAGGCAGACAGCCGCAACCAGTCAGTCACAGCTGGCTGGAATGAGAAATGAAAACTAATTACCCTCTCTGTGCCAAGGCTCTCATTGGCAAGGGCTCAGAGTTCAGGAGTCCAGTTAGAGAAGAGATGGCACCACCCCAACTTGCAGCAGGCTGAGAGCTTGTACTAACAAGACCTGCCGACACACGGGGAATAGCATCTTCTGCACCCTGCAGCTCTGGTGCCGCTCTCTCTAAAGCCCCTCTAGGAGTGAGAGGGCATGGCTGGCACAGGCTGTGAGCTATACAGATGCAACACTGCCTACGATGCTTCACCCACAGCTTCCTTTGATGGCCCTCCCACCTGGCATTCTTCCAGGAATCACTTAGAATGTCACCTTGCAACCCACTGCCCTGCTCTGGAGCCTTCCTTCTCTGCACGCACCCCACCCATGTCCACCTGCCAGCACGTGGCTGGAAGGCAGCGAGGGGAACTGCAAGGCTCCAGGACTGGCCCTTCTGTACCAGTGAATGTGAAAGACGGGGTGCTGCGTTCACACCCAGTCTTGCCAAGTCCTCATGGCAACATCCATCACAGCTTTCTCCTTCCCACAACTGTCACCTCTTCTATGGATGTTTCCCTGGTTGCCAGATGTTAGATTCTGTTTTCTTGCTAGTTTTAGCTCCTCCTTGGCTGTTTTGCAACTTTCTCCTGCTTGAATCTCTCTTTCCCTTGGTTTCTCAGCTATCCTGAGCTACTCCCCATCAGTCCTTCTGGGGCTTTTAATGCTCCCTGCCTCTCATACCCATTTGTCTTTTCAAACCTGTACATCTTCTTCTTCATCACACTCCTAGCAACATACTCCCCAAGACTGCCTCGGGCCATCACCAGTACACCACTGAGGCAGTCAACTACCTCCCCCTTCTCACACCCGGTTCCTGGAGTCACATGCATTCAAAATGTTCCCTGGTCACACACAGCCTTTCAGGGGGCATCTCCAGAAGCCCAAGTCTCCTTAAGGTCTTCCAAAGCTTTGCTTCCCTGACCAATAGTATACTGACAGCTTGGGATTTGAGGAAGGGGTGGGGAGAGGTCTACAAAATGGACTTTGAGCCTTGAAACTGGAGAGTTCTGGGCTAAAATGGAGGAATTGTGAGCTCCCTGATCCCAAACACCCACACTCCTCCTGGCTTCCTTCAAGTCCTGATGTCTGCTCAGGGGCTACTAGATTGAGTTCCTGCTTGCAAATTATGGGAAGCATAATGCCTTAACTAGTGCAATTGCAAAAACCAGGATCCCTGGAACTTTTTGCTAATGTTAAGAAATGCCAAACCAGGGTAGTGGTGCTTTGAAGCACCTAATTCTTTTGTAACCCTCAAATGTCACCAGGGAACACTTAATCAGCAATCCAGTTCTATGGTTCTATCCCAGTCCCAACTTAAAGGTTAATGACCAGGCTATTGAAAAGCTGATATTCAAAGTTACGGTGGGAATTCTTTGCTCAGTCTACTGCACACAAATTTCAGGTGCATCGTGTAGACAAGATGGTGCCTCTGATGTGGCTGCAGCTGGATTCGCTCAGAAAGAGAGGGGAGAGGGGAACACATGTTCCCACGCCTCTTAGAGACTCTCAGAGATGCCAACACAGCATGGCTACAGTTGTGCGGCTTGCAGAAAAACAGAACCAATGTGTAGGCCTCAGGCAAGGCAGTAGAAATGCTCTTACTGATTCAAGAAGCCATCTCCTAGGAGGCCAAGGACCTTGTAAAAGTCCCCCCCGCCCCGCCTCCCCGGGATCCAGAGAGCTGCGTGTTGCCATGTACAGTCCATTTTCCCAAACATCAGTTCCTTACGTGATCAAGTTATGCCTAAAACTTTACTAGC